GACAGTGGTTTAGGGTTTTGGGTTTAGCGTTTAGGGTTTAGGGATTAGGGTTTACGGTTTAGGTTTTAGGGTTTAGGGTTTAGGGTTTAGGGTTTAAGGGTTTAGGGTTTAGGGTTTAGGAACAAAGGAAGTGTTACAGGATGTAAGGAGAAGTCTGTCAGTTCGGAGGCTTGAGATGGGTAGTTCTCTAAATTAGCATCCCCAACGTAGCAAGGCACCGTTAGAAAAAGGACCCTAAAAGGGACTCTAGTTTAGGGAACTACGCACATCTCTGATATGATTTCATGAACAGTTCCATAAAGCCTCGAGGATATCGGAGTCTCCAGGAAGACCAATTGCATACTGTTTCTTAGAGTATTGATCGCAACCCTATTCCAATTATTGAGGCCGCTTTATTAGAGAACCCGCCGAGTCACCCTTGTATATCCCCTTAAATGGGCGCGGCTGTAATCAGTAATAACCCAAGACCCCCAAAGCCTAAACCCACACCCTATGACGCATGAGATGGTAGTTTCACAAGAGTGGAAGGCTTACAGGGCCAGTGCTATGGAGTCAAGGGTAAGAGCACATGTCCACTTCAACAAACCCTGAACCCACAGCCCCTAAACCCTAAAGTCTAGGGTTTAGGGGTTTAGGGTTTAGGCTGGTTTCTGCCAAGGACCTGGGCTATGAAAATCGGGATTTTCCAAGCGCCGGACTGGTATCCAGGTGCCCAGGCTTGACCTGCAGTTCTACATGGGTGGGTTTAGGGTTTAGGGTTTAGGGGGGTCATCATGTGATTATACTTATTCCGGTTCTAGACGTATCTTTAAGGGGATTGGGTTTAACGCTGAGGGCCTGTCGTGTTTGTTGTTGAGCGTTCAAGTTTTAGTGTTTAGTTTAGCGTTTTGGGCCGTATGTCCCGACACCTGCTGCATCAAAACCTACTATTCGTAGGGTCGGGGACTGGAGGAACCCTAAACCCTAAACCCTAAACCCCTAAACCCTAAACCCTAAGCCTAAAAGTAAGGAGATAATTATGGGCTTTAGGGCGGAGGGCTCTGGGAGCAAGACGAGGTAGGGCCTTAGAGCTTCAGGGCTCAAGGGGGTTTCAGAGTCCGCGTAACTGCAAGTGGGTCGAGGGTTTGGGGGTTTGGGGTTCAGGGTTTAGGAATTTTGCTGAAAACGTTCACAAGGTGTCGTACGTTCGCGACTGGAAGTGCTTGGCAAGAAGACATCCTCAGCATAACATCAGCCAGAACTTGGCAGCTGCAGTTGTGCCTTCCACCCTAGTGCTACACTCTAATCTAACCCTCAACCCAAAGCCCTTACACTGTAATCCAAAGCCGTGCAGTCTTCATTGAGGGGGTCCTGGGGGTTTGGGGAGCGGTCGTGTTTTGTAGGATCCTGACTGAGGCTTGAAGTTCAACTCCACGCCGGATGAGTTCCAAATGTTCATCCATACGGTGCCTGGCTTGAGGAAATCGGGTCTCTTAAGGGTATAAGAGTTCAGAGCTTAGGTTTTTTGATCATGCATCCTGCGCAAGCAGTCGTTCGAAATCCTATGTTGACATGATAGTAGGAGCAGGAAGGGCCAGAATAGGAGTCGTGCATGTCGTCGTCGTCGCCCCCGCCGTCGTCCTAACCTGCTGAAGAGGTGCTAGGGAGCTGCCCGCCTCCGTGCTCGCAGGTCTCTGCTGGGATGTCATGGGTTTGGGCTTAGCGTTTGTGGGTTTTGAGTTTTGGGTTTAGCCTTTGTGGGTTGTGAGTTTTGGGTTTAGCCTTTGTGGGTTTTGAGTTTTGGGTTTAGGGCTACAGGGGTTGCACAAGGTGTTGCGCAAAGATTAAGATTCCAGGTTTTAGTGTTCAGGGTCTGGAAGCTTGATAGGTTGTCATGGGGGATTCGGGGTTGGAAGTTTGGAGTTAACGATTTAGGACCTGGCTACTGCCAAAGTCCATACCACATAGGCCAAGGTTGCCAGCACTGCCCCTCAAACCCGAAACGCACAACTCGAGGAAAAAGAACAAACGACAATCATAACCCTAAACCCTAAATCCTAAAACTAGAATAAGGCATTGTCATAGAAGACTTGTGAAGCACCCGTTGAGCACCATAGGATTCATGGCGGCAAGAAGGCCAGAATCGTGACGGTCAAAACAGATTGTCATCATCAAGGACATAGTAGCAAGAAGGCATATGCGTTTGTAATCACAAGATATACGCTTACTGACATTAAAGATGCATATACGAAGCTTAACAGCCAATCACCATCATCAGCAGGTGTGCCTATGTATATGTATATGTACTCACCCTATCCATCCATCCATCCATCCATCCATACATCCATACATCCATACATGTATACATGCACACGCAGACACACACACACACA